GAAGCACAGGTCTCTAATACCAGCATTTGGGAGGTTGAGGAAGGAGGATTGAGTTGGGGGTCAGTCTGAGCAACATAGTAAGACTTCTCTCCAAAAACAAAAGAAAACAATAAAAAAGTATGTTTTGTGCAAAAGAATAAATACTTTTAATCTTCCCTAATTGTTGCTTCCAAGTTTCTGTGGTGATCCAGATTTTCTGGAATTAGCAGACGGGTATTAGTTCACCTTGCCCTCCCTTTACGCTTTGACAGACCTTTCCTGTGCCCCTCCCCAGCACCCATCTTTCTGATAGAGGATGTGAATCTGCTTCCTCCTGGCCACTCATCACCCTCACTGCCCTTCTCTAGCCCCTGTGCAGCTCTGCGCTGCCTCTCTGGAGTGGCTGAGACCAGGATGGATCTCTACAGGGTGTGTACTCAAGCATCCAGGCCAACCACAAAGAACAGCTCAGTGAAGAGACTACAGGGAACAGGAAAAAATTGGAAAAATTGGAAGCTACCATTAAAGAAATCATAGAGAGAGAGCATTATGTTAAAATGAAACTTGTAGGAAAATGAAGATTATCCTTATAATAGCAGTTGACAGTGGGATTGGGAGAAAAAGAACAATTCATTGTACTTGTCTACACTGTACACTGTCAAGGGTGGTCTTCACCTACAGAATAAAATCAAACCCACCACCACTGCCCACAGGTGGAGCACTATCTCTCCCTCCCTCCCACTCTCCTCACTCAGCTCAGCCACATCGATGCCGGCCCACCTCCTGCCTGTGTACACATGCGACTCCAGAGTCTCCTCTCAGCTGTACCCTCTGCCTGGGCCATTTCCCACAGGCCACATTTGATTTTCTCCTGCCCACCCCTCAACCCTCTGATTACATGCCACTTCCTCAGAGAGGTGTGACTATCCTGACTACTCCCTGCACCTATTCTGTCTTTATCTTTCTGTGAACACAGAAAGTACACAGTTGCTTATCTTTTCCACATCAGTGTCCCCCGTTAGAATAGAAACTCTGTAAGGGAGAAGACCTGGAATGGTAATTGTTGAGCACCCCCTTTTAAACAATTGTTTAAAATCAATCTTTCTTT